ATATCATATATATATATATATTGTAAAAAAAGTGTGGTTAATACTTATCATCATAAACATTTATTTAAAAACCTTTTTTCTAGAGGAAAAAGTTGCGAGCTTTTATGTTAAAATAAATATCAATAAGAGTTTCTAAAAACGTATTACCACTTGAAAATATTTTGATTTAAAAAGTGGCTCAGATCCAAAAACATGTATTTTACTTTTGAAAACGAATATTTTTTTTATGATTTGGCATTTCAAAAAGTTTAATTTTATAATTGTATAGCTGTTAATTTAATTGACAAATATTGACTGCCTTTGACTGTAATAAAAATACACATCTAAAAAATTATGAGCTTAAATTTTTTAAAAGAGGTACAGTCATTTCGAATATTATGGAATATCTACCACGAATAGGCATTTATTTTATACAAGTTGTATTTTTACACGGTTTCTAATTGCAAACATAAGTTACTGCCTAATACAATAAAATACTATTACTATAACTATTAATTATAATATAGACTAAACTTAGCTTTCAACAAGATACCTGATGTTATAAATACTCTGATACTAGGCTCTATGAACTATTTTCTAATTTCCTCGCAAATAAATGGTGCATTATTAGTTTGTATATTTTGATAATACTTGCAAAAACAGTTTTGCCAGTTACAACGGGGTTTTCTGTCCAACAAAACTACCTAAAATAAACTCACAAATCAGTAACTCCATATATCCAATCAGTGTGTAAAAAATAGTAAACTTAATTATATAAATTTGTTGAGTGCAAGAAAATAACGAAAATAATGAAAATAATGACAACCAAGTAATTTATGTACCTAGGTATAGTTATAATTGTCAATGTATTACATCAAATTGTACAATTTGTGTGTACAAAAAATAAACAATAATATACAATATAATATTTTGTTTTTAGTGTTTACTTGATCATATTAATTAAACTAAGTAACATTAATTTATGAAAATATAATAAACATAAAATTCAATTACACAAAGCAAGTCATTGACGGCATTAATTTAATTATTCTCGGCACAAGGTATTCATAATATAAATCTATACTACCTAACAGTTTCAAGTGATATCGCACAAATTGTGCTCTCGTGTGAATTGATGATGTCTGCATTCCTCCTATCTATCTATCTACCCACCCAAACATATAATAGCTATGTACAATGCTCAATATACATGTTGCAATCACTCTGCAATATTGCGGATTACTATTTGGTGGCTAGACTTAATTTAATGTAAACTTGAATATTCACCGCTGAAAGCGAATCGGGTGATTAGATAAATAGTCCATTTTCGGTTGTCGGCTCAGAGTGAATTGAAATGAAGGGACATTGGTGGATTTCGATCATTGGACAAAAGTATCATCATTGTGGTGATTGAAGCCGAAAAGTGATTGGTTTTTATTTATGTGACAAAGACATTTTTAAAATTGTATTGGCGTGATATTTGTTTTGTGTATCGACCATATTCCACTGGATAGGTAAATGTGTAATAGAGGTAACTCAGTTTTGCAATGAAGTATTGGAGTAAAAATTATCAGATAGTTTTTAAATAGTCTACAAATACATAACTTTTAAAACAAGACGTACTTGAACCTAGTGATTTAAATACTTTTGCAAAGCACTTATCTATATTTAAATTTTAAGGTCAAATACTTTTTTCCTTATGTTAATTCAACCTCATAAAAATAAAATGATAAATAGATGTGCATTTAAGCCATAAAATAAAATGAATAAAAATAATTCAAATTTTACTAGAAACTTTGTTTTAATTTAAACATAATATTATCCTCAAATTCAAAGATAGTATTTTTCAGTGGCAAGACCTATGCATTTAATTCTGAGCATCGAAATAATAGTAATATACCTTCTATATAATAGCTATAATAACAAAATTGGTACTGTTGTTTATCGATTTTATAATAAAACTGAAAATACAGCAATCGTGGAGGTAAAAATGTCTTAAGTTCTTTCTCACATCTCACTATCGAAATACCATGTATATAAATATATTTTGTGTGTGTGACTTACACACGTGCAACTAAACTTTCAAATAAGGAAGACTGATGGGAAGCTTATGTAGTTACATAAAACGATACAGTATAAATTTCTTACAAATTAATGTATAACACGAAAATGCCAAAAAAAGCTCAGTTTATAGTTGATCTTAAACTTTTCATAAAAATAATTGAAGTACCTATCTGTATTTGTACACGAATAATTTTTATTTTATATTTGCCGAGTGATCAATTAATATGTATTTTGAATACTTTTAAAAGGCGTTATCTATACGTGTACTTGACTGCTTTTAAAGAGTTTATTTTACAAGACTGTAGTTAAACGCGGCAACTGTAGATGATCAGCCTGAAACCATGTGTTTGTATTGACGACAATATTGTCTTTATCCATAACTTACCTACTTGTTCTAGATGAGTGATCTATTTTAGGTTAAACTGAAGGTCGTCGAATTTATGTTTAATCTATATTGTATCGTGGTGGAGCAAAAAATAAATAATTCTAAAAGAACCGTTTTTTTCCGTTGTACCTATAACTGTTAACCGTAGTCACGCTCGTTGGGTGATTTATAGTTACGTAAGAATCGATACTTTTTCATTTATTTTTATTTACGTTTTTTTCCCCCAACTAATACTCGGACGTATTTATTTTGACCAAAAATCCTACTCGAAAATACGTCAGTGATGATGTATTGAAGGATTTCGGTATCCTTAATTCGCACGAATGAATGTCTCTGAAAATTCTGTTTTGTTGTTTATCGTTACAACTAACGATACCTTCTCGTCGTTAAGTACATTATATTATGTCCGGTCGTACTTGGAACAAAAGATCGACGAACAGCGTTAATCCGTTGCGTGAATCAAAATACTCTCAACTAAACCGTTTTTCATTTTATCAACCGTCTCTGATCTGATTTTCGATTGTATTGTTGTATGCAGTATACATAGTTAGATTTTGCTCAAATAAGCCGTTAAAAGTATTCTTCCAACCGAAATTTAAAATTAAGATGATTAAATGAATGTATTAGCAAGTGAATTCGTTCGCACAGTATCGCGACGGTAAATCTTATTTAAAAACTATATAGGTAATGAAAGTTTACACTTTGTAAAAACCAAAAAAAAATGATAATAAAATTCGTTGAAATTACTATTAATATTGTACACAGTTCCTATCATCATTACGCATTGCTGCCCAACAACCATCGTCGTTCTGATATAATCACAGCGATATCTGTATGCATGTCAGTCTGACCTAAGTATTTTGCAGCCCGTTTGTAGATTTTGCTGTTCCGACTATTATGCAATAACAGTGCATGCGCTTTAGTTATTGGTAAATAAATATTTCATGTGATTTACGAGAAAATCAATTCGTATTTTAGCTTTCCAAAAGCGAAAGCGATCTGAGACTTTTTTTCACAAAATTGAAATACATAAGTAACCATTATATTTGAAATAGGTTTTGTGAATATTGATGTTATATTGTGTATGTTTTTATAATTACGATTGGTATAAGATACATTTAGAAAATACAAGTCTCCTAGTAATCGCCTAGACTTAATGCAAGTGCACATCACTACAACTCTACAGTCAACAGATAAATAATGAAAGGACAAATAACTTCAGTTAGCTCTTTGATGATAATATATTATATTATATTGGACAACGGTATGTTTTTTTTTGTCGGCTTGAAAGTCGGGGATTGCGAATCATCCTTTTTCAACGAAATTGAATTAATTGCATGTAATGACGTGATGAACGAGCAAACCATTTAATTAAATATAGGTAATTACTAATTATTCTGTGTTTTCTCCTCCATTTCCTAATAAAAAAAGAAAAGAAAAAAGGCTCTTGTTACAAATTCACAATACCTATAATATACTATATACAAGTGCATCCGGTAACATGTAGTCCAATTAATTAATACGATGTCTCAATGCTCGTAAAAACGTACAATATATACATATACTGGGTGATCTATTTTGTAAGACACTCATTGTGTCTAAGAACACTAACGTTTTTAAAAATATTTCGTAAGGTTATTTTGTATGATGTTTTTATATTATTGTTATAATTTTTGAGTTTTTACTCTTTGGAATGACAAGTTATATTTTTTGATTTCATATACAGATTAAACAATATTATTCAAAGTATTTCGATTTATAAAAATCAAATTTCATACAAGTTGTTTATTAGTTATAAGTGTAGAAGTATTTCATTAAATATTCTGCCATGTGAAAACAATTGAAGAATGCATGTTGTCGTTGAAAACTTTGAAAAAACCAACTCTCAATAAAAAAAAATGGTAAAAATATTGTTTTTTAAATACTAAAAATTATGTAAAAAAATATTTTGAAATATTTTTTGAAATATAGAATGCCGCCATTAAATGGATCACCCGGTATGTAACATATTTCCCAAACTTTGGGATCGTGCCCAATCCGATTCCGGTCGTCGTGGGCGATTAGTTTTCGCATACGTTCCAAAAGTGAAATCTCGGGAATCTATCACCACGGGTGGCAGAAAAAAAGAAAGAAAAAAAGCACAAACCAGAAAGTGGCGAAAACAATCGATTTCGTACGAGCCAAACGTATATAATATATAAAATGTATATATTCGCTCGGTGGGTTTAAGGGGGTGTGGGGGGACTTTTGGATGATGTAAAGGAGAACTATACTACCGAGTGCGAGAGCACGAGACCGGAATGAGTTAATTGATTTCCGAGTGAAATCACATAACATCAACTAAAGTAATAAATAATAACATATAACAATAATAATCATAGTAATCAGTAATGTCGTCATCGTTATAATAATATAATTATTTTACTCGCCGTTTGCTATAGGCGAATAGGTATACAGGTACCTACGTGTGAATTATTTTTATTACAAACTGGCCTCTCTAAACGGTCATCGAATAAAACGTGATCGGATTTATTGAGTCGGTGACGACAATATTGTGTGACCCATAGCTGTGTGTGTGTGTGTGTGTGTGTGTGTTAGTTCGTTATAAATGTTAGGTACACCGACGTCACCAGCACACTTTCGATTTAACGTCCAAACACGTCGTTATATAGGTACGATCCTATGACATATTCGCCACATATATCGAACCCGTCGTCTCGTTTGGGTGACATAAAATTATTATTATCATAATATTATACATTAAGAGTATTGTACTTGTCTTGTTTAGGCTGCGAAACAGTTGTGATCGAAGTTGTAATTTAATATATCATATTATTCAGACGGAATAATATCTGCGAGTACGCAGTCGTGTCATCGAGTTCCTGACGTCGTTTAGTGTGCCGGTTTTAGTACCTACCTATCCATTAAGATGGGTTCAACCAAGTTGAACATTGTTTTGGTGAGTTATTTTAATGATTAAAATACATATTGTGTGGGTTTTGTGGGTGTTTGTGGTATTTAAGCGCGAATATAGCCAAGGATACTAAAATGACATATTACTATATATAGGTACCTACCTATATTCGGGTTTGACCGACAATGTTCACCTCTTCCGGGGTCGTTTGCGCCGAAAATAACTGCAAACTGTTTCGTATTATATAAATGTAACATTTATGTTTTCCGAGTGAAAAATCGTTTCAATTAAATTATGAAATCAACGCATTCCTAGTAATGAGTTGCCCATATTGCGCAGTAAACAATTTTTATTCGCGACGTTTTTAATTTAACGAACTCTTGTAAATCATGTACACGGTACAATAATAATTGAACAATTCTGTTGTCACTTCCGGTGTTTTTTTGGTTCACGAAAATTACTCTCCACATTACTCGTGCTGTACACAGTAAATAAAAAAAAAATTGTTATAATTTAATATAATAATAACATTTATTGAAGTCCTTTTAACTTTATTCGTGTTTCCGAAAATAAACTGTACATATTATAGTTGTATAATCATATTTAAGTTGACACAACATTTTATACTGAAGTCCACGGTTGTTACGTGGAGAATCGATCATTAAAAGCGTTTGATCGAATTACTTTTTAATGGCTATTCCTTTATGCATTTGTATAAACGAAAATATGTACCTGTACACTTTAATCAATTAAAATATAAGTATAAATACTTACCTAAGTATAATATATAATATATTGTGTAGAAATAATTTTAACCTTAAATCTATGAACTATAATATAAACAATTTTTATTTTGTTTTAAATACATTTTAACAATATCACTAAAAAATTACAATTATATTATAATATAAATGTAATAATTTTATCTAATTGTATGGAACATACAATATAACATATTTTAGCATTTTACATCATCTATGAAAACAATTTGAATTTTAAATCGAGAAAATCCATAAGTCACACTAGGTAAATATTTATAAAAATTTTTTTTTTTAAGCATCCCAAATATTTATTATTCATTCGCACATATAGAACCATAAGCTAAAATAATACTTAAACTACAAAAACGCGTCCATTTTGCATCATGTGATATTATGATTGCGTAACAAATAACAATCGATTGCTAAAAACTAAATGCCACACAGCCTTTAAAACACACTTCGACGGCTTCTAATGTAGTAATAAATTATAATAATAATAATGAAAAATAAAAATAGTTTTAATAATTATTATTATAACTAATAACAGTAACGAGTTGCAACACGACAGTGTCACTCATATTGTCATCTGCAGTGCTGCAGCACGGTTTACGCTTGGACTTAGACTGTCAGTGGAAAAACTTTTCGCTCGAACTGAATACATTTCGCTTGGCTACAAAACCGGGATGAGTTCTGAAACTTTTTTATTTTCCGAGGGATTAGGGACGAAGTACACTTAAATTAAATCAATAAAAGTTTAAATGTTTACTCATAATACGAGTAATATAATGTTAAATTTATTTTCGTTTTGTCTGTATACGCGAGCAGGTTTTGTTGCAACTGACGAGCATGTGCATGTGTCAAAAGTTCAACCCCGTGTACCGGGGGGGACCGATCACCACGGACAGGCAGATCGCAGCCGGCCAACAGCAGTACACGAACGACGCGGCGCTGCAGTCGGCCGTCGCCGGCGACGTTTACCAACAATATCCGGAACAGCAATACAACTACCCGACACAGGCGTACTACTATCCGCCACAGCAAAAGCAAATGTTGGAGAAGCAACAACAGTCTAGGTTAGAGCAACAACGGCTCCAGCTCCAGCAGTTGCAACAGCTCCAGTCGTCCTGGGCCGGTTACTACCAACCGGCTGTGTCGCCTCAGCAACAGCAGTACACCAGTGACTACCAACAGCAATTGCAGCAGCTACAGCAGCAACAGCAGCAACCGCAGCAACAGCAACAGCAGCAGCAGCAGCAATATTACCAAACAGTGGAGAAACCACTGTTCAGGCCTGCTGCCATACCGGTAAACGAGGCGCCAGCCGAGGGCCCGCAGCAACAGAAGCCGAACAGCTTGTACCAGCAGCAAAACGGCGCGTTGGCCAATCAGCAATTGCCACAAAACCCGCTGGGAGTGTACTACTCGTCGGCCGCCGACGTGTCGAAATTTCAATTTTCCGGCAACGGTGTTAACTATTCGTATTGAATAATAATTATGTGAATTTTGTTATGCATTTTTTTGTTTTGTTCTGTTTTGTTTTTTTTAATTATTATTATTATTATTATTATTATTAACACTAATTTTATTGTTTGTTATATTTCCGTAATAAATTAATGTATAAACCAAATCCGTCGGCCGAAGCGTTTAAGCCGGGATGCTCTCCTGCACCGTGTAAATCGAATTGCGGGCCGCCAGACCTTCCGTCGACACGGTCCTGGTCGCTTGTTCCGCTGTGACTTTTGTCCTTTTGAAATAGCTTCTGATCCGGTCCTTGGTACTACTGCGAAAACAATACACAGTGTTTAATTAGTGTGGAGGATGAGGACTGAACTGTATACAGGAGAAACATTGATGTTAGTTTTAATGAGGGACGAGGGCCGAGGGGTCCACTCGTTATTAACTTGTTATTAACCCTTTCACTAACTTAAGCAACCAACGCGGTTAGGTCGTTATAATTACGAGGAAACAATTCTTCATATTCAAAATTTGATATTTAGGAGATTTTAATAGTTTCAAACATTGTATTAAAAAACATTGATTTTATTCGATCCATGCATCCAGGTAGGAAATAACTGGAACATGACTCAATATTGAAGAGTACGACGATTTGAAACACGCCATTCGACTTTCTGACAACGTTATGCTACAATTTAAGACTAATTTTTATAAAGTTCAAGAATTGAACGGTAAATATTAAAACGCAGAGCCTAGGGACAGTGATCGAAATTTATTTATTGTGACTAAATTTGAAAAAGACTTGAAGACCAGTAGTTACTATTTGTCCAGTTCACACCGAATCACGCGTGACAGAAATTCCTTAGCCATCGGTGGAGCCATTATATTAATTTATGGAAAGACATCTGTTTTAATATATAACATAAAAAATGAAAGTTCTCACGTGTATCTACTGTACATCAAAAGCAACCTTTCACCGAGATGCGGATACCGTGGGAATAAAATAATTACTCAAGCAACAGGTTTACTTGTAAACGTAAGTTGGATAAATATAGATGTTTAGATTCGTTAATAACGATATTGATTTAATTGATTCTATCAAGATTTTATATTATAGCACCTATGGAAGTTTCTTTAAGTTTATTTTTACTATAATTTTTTTTCATCATTTTAAGATTTTATAAACCAACAATCCCAGTCTATACAAGTATTAACAATTTGTTTACGTTTATTTTAGATTTTAATTTGAATTCATCAAACGAATAGATTAGGTATATTATGTGAATTTTGAAATCCGGGCCTTAAACCATGAATTCGAAATAAAGAAATAGTACTCGTAGGATTAGACTCACGAAAAGTTAGCTGTTTTGAATACTCTCGTGAACTTACCTGTCCGAATTCCAAGCAACAAACAGCAACGGAGTGGTGACCGTCGGCACAAACGCCAGCCAAACGCATATCATGAACGTCAAATCGAAGTGTCTGCTGTTCTCGTAAGTTTCGGACACTTCAAGTTTAGCCAATCTGAAATGATTTTTTTAGTATTGTGATTTATTAATTTACTAATATATATATATATCGTAAGAAATAGTAATATAATAATATAATATTACAATATTACAATATAACTATATAAGTTTTAAAATTTTTTTTGATGTAATATCTATAGATCAAAATTTGGAAGAGTAGTTTTTGAGTTATATAATTGTGTGTATACTAAGGATGGTATGTACATGGTAATGTGTTAAGCAGATATGGGGACTTAAACGATTTGAAAAAGTTAGTAGGTAATCACTATTGATCTATCAATATAAATAATTTGCAAAAATGATCCGAGTATAATAAATACCACATAATATAGTATTACATAAAGTTTGTATTTTTATTTTTTATTAAACCATTTTTAAGAATTATTATATTGAGTATAAACATTTTAATAACTCATAAGCTACTCAATAACATTTTGATTTAGATTGGTACACCAGAATTTTGAAGAAAATCTTCTGTTAAATAGTTTGCTGTAAAAAAGAGGGGTTTTCATTTGCAAAATAGAATTTTGTATCGGCACAGGACACTTAAGTGGTACAAAAAAAAAAGAAATTTGAAAATATGATATTTACTAGGTAATTACATACAAATTTAAATAATCAGGATTAGAATAAATACACCTATACTATTAAAGGAGAAATGGGGGTGAACATGCTTAATCAATCACTCTGTATATTATGTATGCAACACGTCTGGCCGTTGACCATCGTACTTACGGAAACCGTTGTCGATTTGTTTTATGGCCTACCATATTATAACTGTATCGGTTACTAAGCGCCTCATATACTTTTTATGGAGAATTTCTCTCTTCTCAATACATTATTATTGTTGCGGTCATTTGAATATAAAATAATATATTACGACCGTTTGAATGCGATATGTTAATACCTTATACGAGTGTATAATGATATTATATCAACGTTGTTTTATTTTTACGGTATTTCTGACGACCAATAGTGTCTTAAACATTGTCCAATAAATTCAAATATACCGATAACTTTTTTAATACGAGTACAATACTTGTATTACGCAAATTTTCGAATAATATAATATTTTCAGTTATTGTAGTTTTGTAGGTACTTACATCTATTTACATCATATGAGATTCTGAGCGGAGCGATAAGCATATTGGTCTTAACCTATTGATATGATGTGCAGAGTTCTTTTAAATTTGTTTTTTGTGTCTTTCATCACGTTTTAGAGTAGAAAAAAGCAATATTAAACTTTTAAGGTGGTTTCTCGTAAAATAAAAAATTAAATATAGTTAATACTTTCTGGAGGGGGAAGGGAGCCAAAAGTAAAAATTCCCTGAACTTTTTTGTATAGATACAATTTGAAAAAAAAAAATACAAAAGTAAACGGAAAATGTGAATAAGTACGCAACGCCAGTTTTCGACGAAATTGATTTTGTTTTATTGTTATACTATAAAGGAATAATCTGCTATGTAAGATTTAATATTTTCACAAATATTCGTATTTGAATTTTCTATACATGATTAAATTTTCAAAATATTTATGTTCTTATTGAACTATATTATTTATTGACATTTGAAATAGTCTACTTTTAAATTTATTTTTTCGATTTATATTAATATCATTTTCGTTTCTAGGAAAAACCAAGATCCTCTCTCAAGTTGTTTTTACTGTTTTTACAGCAACTAACAAATATTAAAAAATAGATACAACCACGTATTTGATTTATAATAGTTTAAAACTCAAGCTCAGACAAAATTGGATCTTCAAACGTAAAATATTGATTTCCTCTCAAAAGGTTTTAGTTATTTTGATGTCATTAAAAAAACATATTAATTGTAGATATAAAGTAAGTATACTTGAAGCATTCCACTATTACTTATAATATTATTATGGTTTCATATACACATTGCAATTGGCAAAATATTTATTTTAATTATTTTAAGCGAATTATTTTACACCATATAGTACAAATCTTCTTAAACCGTTTCCAAATATAACACTTACCTGATATAATAACGACCTTCAACCTTGGTACAATCAAAAGCTATAAAACAGAGTGCGTTCTGCCTTTTCCTTTTTTCCATTTGTTACAATCAATTATTATAAAAAAGTTATTGCGAGTGATTTCAATACGATGCAGAACTATTTATATTTCTTACAAATTTGTATCAATTTGTTATACCGGAGTTGAACTCGCGCGTGTGGACAATAACAAATTATACATTATATTACGGAATGATTGGAAACCATAAACGAACAAAAAATAAATGGTTCAATGGTCTCGAGTGCAAGTTATTTTCGTATTAATGATTGAATTTTCATCGTATAGTTCAACTGGTATTTATTGCGGTCACGAATAAAAGTCTTCAATTTTAAAGCAACATTTTCGTTCTCTTTGTAATAACATTTTTTTTTTAACACTGAGGTTGGTATATTTGTTGTTTTCTTTGCTTTCGAATATTAAAATTTAAAAGTATTAAATAATTGACGCATATTATTAAAAATAAAACAGCAGAGAAAATAATTTCTTTACAAATACTTTTTTTATATAATTAAAATAATAGTTATAAGAACAAAAATTATTTTATGCTAATTGTTTAAAATACATTCATATTATACTTCAATAAAATAGTTTAATAAAAAAATGTATCTACGTCAGGAGACAATACATTGAGTTTTCAAGTATTCGTACGAATTATTATCATACAGTCATTGAAATGGTAATTTTTACCAGACAAAACAAATAAACTTTAAAAAAAATATTAATGTACCTACTCATACATTATATTAAAATAAATATTGATCTGGCATTTTCATTTTATGTTAATTTCCAAAAATAAAAGTAATAAATACATAGTATACCTATAACATTGGTATTTGTTATTGTTATTAAAAAATAAATACACTCATATGATTTGTATGAAAGATACATTGTGCTTCGAATTATAAGTGGGTATAATCATAAGAAAATAAATAAAACTCTTTATTATACAAAAACAATTTTAACAATTTTTACTTCAAATATCTTTAAAAAAAATGAATTGTTAATTGTATTAAAATTATTACTAAAATTGTGATGGTTCTGTAAAAGTATAAGTTACCTTATTATATTGCATTTTTCGAGATATAAAAATTAACATTTTTTAAAATTGTAACTACTTTTTTCGAAATTTTAATGAATTTTATAAAAAAAAATAGAATTTCAGACAAAGCGAACTTATATGGAATCTTTAATTACATTTTAAAACTTACCATTGGGAGATGGCTATTAGCCTGTTTTTATTTTTCTGATGGGAGGAAGGGTGTGGTTGGTTTGGAACTCATATATATGGCTAAGATTCATCATTAAAAAAACATTGGTGGTTACCCATCCGGGAACTAGTGACGCCAACCCATACTTGACCTCAGCATAAGTTAGCGACAATTTTTGAAATGTCATTGTACGTACTAAATAATAATTTAAGTGATAGTCAAATGTTTTAAGTTTTTATTGCTAATATTTTTTGAATAATAACAAATGAACAAAAATCGTTTGAGGAAAAATTGGTATTCTGGGCATTTTTTACTCTTGACTCCCCAAGCTAT